TATATATATATATATATATACCACATCTTTATTCATTCATCTATTGATGGGAACTTAGGTTGCTTCTATATTTTTAGCTATCGTAAGTAATGCTGCAATAAACATAGGGGTGCATATATCTTTTCTAATTAGTGTTTTTGTTTTCTTCAGATAAATACCCAGAAGTGGAGTTGCTAGATCATATGGTAGTTCTACTTCTAATTTTTTGAGGACCCTATATACTGTTTTCCATAGTGGCTACATCAATTTACATTCCCAGCAACAAGGTTTCCCTTTTCTCCACATTCTCCCCAATACTTATTTGTTGTCTTTTTTAGGGTATATCTTTTTTTTTTTTTTTTTTTTTTTTGCGGTATGCGGCCCTCTCACTGTCGTGGCCTCTCCCGTTGCGGAGCACAGGCTCCGGACGACGCGCAGGCTCAGCGGCCATGGCTCACAGGCCCAGCCTCTCTGCGGCATGTGGGATCTTCCCAGACCGGGGCACTAACCCGTGTCCCCTGCATCGGCAGGAGGACTCTCAACCACTGCGCCACCAGGGAAGCCCCTGTTGTCTTTTTTTTAATAGTTATCCTGACAGGTATGAGATGATATCTCATTGTAGTTTTGATTTGCACTTGTCTGATGATTAGTGATGTTGAGCATCTTTTCAGGTGCCTATTGACCATTTGTATGTCTTCTTTGGAAAAATGTCTATTCAGGTCCTCTGCCCATTTTTTTAAACTGTTATTTATTTATTTTTGGCCATGCCATGCAGCTTGTGGGATCTTAGCTCCCCAACCAGGGATCGAACCTGCACCCCCTGCATTGGAAGCATGGAGTCCTAGCCACTGGACAACCATGGAGGTCCCCTCTGCCCATTTTTTAATCAGATTTTTTTTCTTTTTTTTATGTTGAGCTGCAGGAGCTCTTTGGATATTTTGGATATTAACCACTTATCAGGTATATTGTTTGCAAATGTCTTCCCACACTCAGTAGGTGGTCTTTTCATTTTGTTCATAGTTTCTCTCCCTGTGCAAAAGCTTTTTAGTTTGATGTAGTCCCATTTGTTTATTCTGTTTCCCTTGCCTGAGCACAAAAAAAAAAAAAAAAAAAAAGTCAAAGACCATACTGCCTGTTTTCTTCTAGAAGTTTTATGGTTTCAGGTCTTACATTTAAATCTTTAATCCATTTTGAATTTATTTTTGTGCATGGTGTGAGAGTAGTCCAGGTTGATTATTTTGCATGTAGCTGTCCAATTTTCCCAACACTATTAATTTAAAATGCTATATTTTCCCCATTGTATATTCATGCCTCCTTTGTTGTAGATTAATTATGACAATGTAAGTGTGGCATTTCTGGGCTCTCTTTTCTGTTCCATTGATCTATGTGTCTGTTTTTGTGCCAGTACCATACTGTTTTGATGATTGTAGCTTTGCAGTATAGTTTGAAATCAGGGCGTGTGATACTTCCAACTTTGTTCTTCTTTCTCATGATTGTTTTAGCTATTCAGTGTCTTTTGTGTTTCCATACAAATTTTAGAATTATTTGTTTTACTGCTGTGAAAAATGCCATTGGTATTTTGATAGGGATTGCAATGAATCTGTAGATTGCCGTGAGTAGTATAGTTGTTTTAACAGTATTCTTCCAATCCATAAGCATGGTATATCTTTGTGTACCCTCCCCTCCATCCCCAAATCCCTCAGTGTTATTTTTTAAATAGAAAGTAAAAACCTTAAGACTCCAAAGAAACCAAAACCCAGGCATCTTTAAAGTATTTGCCTTTCTTTACCAGCAGTTTTGTAATTTCAACCCAGATTAAGAAATAGACACAAGAATATATATGGTGGTGACCAGCACAATTAGCAACAGCATCTCACAAGTGTGAAGTATCATTCACTTTAATGTTTCTCAAAAGTCTTTTAGAGAAATTTAACCTCTTGAATTAAAAACACTAATAGAGGCAGCCAGAATGAGTGGTGACAAGGAGAGAGGAAGTGAGCAACAGAAAAAAATCCTTCAGATTCACTAAAAACTACTAAACCAATTCCCAATAAAAAGAGACACGCTTTACCTAGCTGTAACCAAGAAATTAGTTGACCTAGCTTACTCCCTCTAAGAATTTTTTAATCCCTAAAATAAAATTAACATTAGATTTATTCAGTCACTTCCTTCCAAATGTGACCTTTTATTCTAAAGCAGTAACTCTCAGCAGAACACCAGGGGCCCCCGGAAGGGCATCAAAGTATTTGTTCACTAAATGGTGAAAAAAAAAAAAAATGCGTCTTCCTTCTGCTTGCCCATCACAATCCCCAGTGATACAGATATTCCACGTTAATATTCAGTGCCGAGGCTCTCATAAACCACTAAACCACATGCAGAATATTATACGTTATTTAGAACCATAAGGAAATAAACATTGATACTCTATGCACCCTTTTCAGTAAAGTGATTAAATAAACTCAATTGTCTGGAATATACAGACCTAACTCTTGTAGGTTCCACACTGGGGGGCTCACATGCATCATGTATTATTTGACAAATGCCCGCTTGAAAGAGCTCCCTGTCTCCCTGATAGTGGAGATGCAGAAGATGGGGGGGGGGACAGTCACAGAAGCCTGTGGGGTGAATATATTATCTTCAGCTCTTTAGACTACAGGACTGCATCCTGTCTCTAAATCACATTTGCCCAGATTCAGGAATGCACGGTCACAGAGGTTTTGAAAGTGAGGCACAAGGGACTTCCCTGGTGGCATGGTGGTTAAGAATCTGCCTGCCAATGCAGGGCACACAGGTTCGAGCCCTGGTCCGGGAAGATCCCACATGCCACGGAGCAACTAAGCCCGTGTGCCACAACTGCTGAGCCTGCGCTCTAGAGCCCACGAGCCACAACTACTGAGCCTGAGTGCCACAACTACTGAAGTCCGCATGCCTAGAGCCCGTGCTCCACAACAAGAGAAGCCACCACAATAAGAAACCCGCGCACCGCAACGAATAGCAGCCCCCACTCGCTGCAACTAGAGAAAGCCCGCGTGCAGCAACGAAGACCCAACGCAGCCAAAAAATTAATTAATTAATTTTTTAAAAGGCACAGATAGAATTGGTGACCTGATGATATTTTGGCACCGCCCCCATTGAATACCTGCTGCAATTGTTGACCCTTCCCTATTTTCAGAGGCAGAGTTTCTTCACAGGGAGCCATGTGACCCTGGGCTGAGGGTCTCTGTGGAGGGCTTGGCCACCACCTGGGCATCAAGCCCCTCAGCGTGGCTCTGCGGTTGCTGAGAGCTCCTCACTGCGCCTTGCCCTCTGGACACCTGAGCTGCTGATGACCTGCACTTGAGTGCCAAGGACAACACTTCTGAAGTTCTCTGCAGGCAAAGCTTTAAATTTTCATTTTGTTTTGGTGACTTGGTAAATTTTTTTGAGAAAATGAATTTTTACATAACAAGCAAGTGAATGAGTTGCAGAACAGTTCAGATTTTTAAAATGCTACTCTAATTTTTGTTTCTACATCACGAAGGAGCAAAAACAAAGCACACGGGTAAGGCAATACACGTGAGGTTATTGCTAACTTGTACTGCCACAAAGATTGATGCCTAATTAATCTGGAGTTACAAAGAGCACATGTCAGTGCTTCTCACTCAATTAACAACAAAAAAAAGGAAACCCAAAGGGCCTGGAGGCCATTCCGAGCCACGGTCCTTCTGATGAACCCGAGAAAAGGTTTTGCTAATTCAGAAGGGGGCTAGCCTATGGAGCCGTTTAAAGTCCTGCACCAGGAGAATGAAAATTTCCAGTTATGGCATTAAACTCTATTTATTTAGTATTTGAAACATGGTGTACATTTCTGAATTTGTATAAACATTTAGTACATCTAAAATCCACAACTGGTAGACAACCTGTGTTTTCTTTTGTGTACAATTTCGGAGTTTACATCTGGATATTCTGGTGTTATGGAGAGACCCAGTCTGTGAACCTAATCAAACTGCCTCATGACCATAGTAACTGTGACAGAAGTGATTTGCTCCTTAAAAGGGCTGTTCCTTGCACAGAAAAGGTGTCACGCTTTGGAACTACTAAGCCAGGTGTCAAGGAAACAAGAGAAACACAGCTGACATGATGAAGAAAGTCTGTGAAGGGGACTCCAAGATCCATGTCAGTGCACAGCGGGCTACGCAAGTCACTCGGTGACACCTAGGCATGGGCACCCCTTTCAGAACCTTTGGGTGTCAGAGTCTCCTCACCTCCCACCGGAGGGGTTCCTTCCAGCAGGAGCTTGCACTCTGCACGGGCACACACCTTAGGGCACCAGGGGGTCACAGCTGCAGCTCTGAGGTGCCCACCAGGCCCAGGGCTCTGGCTTCTTCCGGAGTCAGGCCGCTCTTCAGGGTCCTCCGCACTGCAGCGGCGCCGGCAGACCAGAGGCGAAGGGACAAGAAGAGAAGGCGGTGTTAGCAACCAGGCACGTGGCAGTCAGGCCACAGGCCTCCTTCCCCCGAAGGACTCCCAGAGGAGTCACAGCGCTCACGGACACTTGGCCCCGTCCTACTCCTGCTGAAGTGCCCTGGCTGGCTGGCCACCAGGGCAGGGAAAATCTAGGGGCTGCCAGGGACTGACCTGAAGATGACACAGGCACTGACCTGGAAAGTCAGGCAGATAGGGGACCTCGTAAGAGGAGGGGGTGGGGAGGAGAGGCCCACCCTCATGAGGTGTCTGAGAAATGGTGCAAACTACAAAATGCAGGTGGCATGTTGAGAGCTCAGCCTTTCCCAGCATAAGGAGCGGATCAGAGCTGGAAAAGGAATTACTGAGCATAGGAAAATGCAAATTCCAGTGATGCAAATTAGGTAAAATAATCCCGCAAATCTGCAGGGACATACCTCTGTAGAGGCCCCGCAGCAAGGCATTAACGGAACCCGGCGCAAGGGGTAGCTGTCAGGATGAGCTCTCCACGAGCATCAGGGTCTTAGTCTCAACTCATCAAAGGGCCTCTACAGAGAATAACCAGTGACTCCTCGTAGACTGGATGCCAAGGAGCAAACTGCCAAACTTCTGAGTGGATTTGGGGGATGTTCTCTGTGAAACACACAAGGCTCAAGGAGGACCAGTGACCTCCCCGCCCTGAGGTTTACAACTGGCAGCTGGAGGCACACTCATATTTAACTGACTTAGAATTGGCTTATGTTTAGCCTGACATTATGGGTTTTCCATTGTTTAGTGTTGATCAATTTCGATGTCAAAATAAAGGCTGAATAAGGCTGCACGATGAGGCAGCTGCCCCTTCCAAGACTGGTCCTTTCATTTGAAAGGTTCCTAATTACATTTTCCTTAGTTGATAAATTGTATTTGGCCTACTCTGTATGGAAGTCATACAGAGTTTTGGGTATTCTATTTTCAGAAGAGATGTGTTACAGATCTACCATCTACCATAAATCCTCAGTCAGCTGGAGTCCCTGAGATCCTCAGGGAAGGCCCTTGACCAGAATGTGGAGAAAGTAAAGCTCACCCTTAGTGTTTTCCCACCTTCCTTGCCAGACCTAATTCCCCATGCCCCCTCTATGACAAGAGGGCCTGTGTCCTCTGAGGCCTCCCCAGAGGTGAGGGTCCCACCTCGTGTGTCTGCAGCAACGCCCAAATCGACACCTCCCCTGGGCAAAAGCCCACTTAGCCCACGGACAAAGAATCGGAAAGAGCTAGGCCTCTGGTAGAACAAACAGCGGCTAATATCTACTAATAAATACTTTCTTCTCTCCCAGGAGTCAGCACTCTGATTGGGAGCCAACACCCAATCCATCAGTCTGTCAGTCAACAAATACTTCATGGAGAACCTATTGTGCGCTCAGCACTTTAACTCAAAGAATGGACACACTTAGGGAAGATTCACAGACATTAAGCATGGGTTTATAGATGCACAAAGCTCTGTGGTGAGGGGTACCCTCAGATCATGCCACTGCACGCTGCTGTATTTTCAAGCCCAGCTCAGGGCCCTAGAGCCACCCGTCCGCAGCTGCTCCTACACTGGCTAACCCTCCCGCAACCCCGGACCCCTTGGGCTCCAGACTGAGTATTTAACTCATCCAGACAAAATGTTTGGCTCCAGAGCCTTGGCTGGAGGCAGACTGCATTTAACTGAGTAATGGAATTCGTTCTATGGGGCGGCAATAAAAATACTAGTTTGTAATACCCTTTATGTTCTTTAAACACTCCTTCAAGTGTTTGTTAAAGAAAGATAATAACTTTAATGGCAGAAAACAAGATGAAATATTTCTCATCCTTGACAAGGACTGCTGAGACCTCTTATCCAAGATCCAAAATTCTGCCTGAATAAGTCCATGCTGCACTAGGAGGGCATCTTACGTTTCCTTAGCAGCAGGAGGTGGCATGGGCTAGGAACCACACCTTTGTGCCTTGAGGTATACACACGTGGCCAAATGACCACAGAAGACTCCACGAACTGATGGCATTGAAAGATGCCTCTTACAGTTCTATTCACATGTCTGCTTTAGCCCTAGAACTATAGGGTTCAGTTCATGTAAATACTTGAGTGAGGACCCTGGCACCTTACGGAACAGGCAATAATCTGCTAATAGATATGGGCATTGGGCCAGCCTATCTGGGACCAGCTCAGAGAACAGAACAAAGGTTAATGGTGCTGCACCAGCCTTGCTGCCCTCAGCCTCACGGTCTACTCGCAGCTTTGATGCACGAGACCCCTGAGGACCCTCCTGCCCCCTCCAGCCTGGGCTTTCCTCTGCTGTGGGGAAAAGCCAGTATAAGTGAAGGTCCCTTTGCTTGCCAGATGTGTCCCTGAAAGGCAGGTATTCATAGAAAAATCGGCCCCATTTATGGAGTCCTACTTTCTGTGGGCCTTCACGACAATTCAGATAAATTCTCCCAGAAATACATTAACCCTGAAAAGGACCTTAAGAATTTGAACCCTTCCCTTGTTAAAGACTCTTGAAAGAAGGTGTGAAATGAAGGTAATCAGTTGAAATCAGTTTTGTACCCTGATTCCAGTCCTGCATGCAAAGGGCCTGTTACGGTGTCTGTCCATCTACCTGCTCGTCAGTTAACTCATTCATTCAATAGACGTTACATGAGCCTCCACCTTGAGCCAAGTGTCCCACCAAGGAGGCCGGGAGCTGACAGGAACACGGAGTGAGGGGAAGGGCGCAGGGCAGCAGACCCTGTCCGCACAGGAGTTGGCTCTCACGCAGAAAGTTTCCAGAAAGCAAAAAAGGGCTGAGGACATATGAGAATGAGAGGACCAACACGCAGGAGCTGGCAGGATATGGAACTTGCACAACAGGAACAAGCCTTCCATCAAATAGGGAATTCTCAACTAGCACTTCTCAAATGCTGGCAGGCGGGGGGCAGGGGGGAGGGGTGCAGGGGGGAGGGCTGGCTGACGTCTGATAAGATAACATCCGGGCCCCTCTCCACTGCTCCCCCTTCCTGCTTCCCACTTGAATGCCCTGGCTGCAGCAGAGCTGCTCGCCAGCCTGTCACATGTGACAGCCTCCCCGCCCCGCAGCTGCTTAACAGAGAACAGGCCCTGGAAATGTTTATCCCTGTCTGCCTCGCGCTCCTTCCATAGATGGCATGGGGCACTTTGCCGGCACCAGCAGCCACTCGATGCCCCAGGCGCTTGGGACGGCTCTCACGATGTCAGCAGCGGGGTCTGACACAGAGGTGCCTCTGCTGTCAACACGCAGCACAGGGGGGTCTGGGGCTCACGGAAGAATCATAAGTTCGTTTTCTCTTACTTTCCCCCCTCCCTTGAATTGAAAAAAAATGTTTTGATCCTACAAAGTGCTCCCAGGCAACTCTTTGCTGATGTGCATCTGAGAATAATGGCAGTGGTGGCTGCCATTTCCTGAGCACTACCATGGATTCTCTCACCCCATATCTGTGGAAACCCTATGAGATGGGGACTGTGCTCATCTCCCCAGGGAACGAGCAGCAGCGGCATAGAGAGATCGAGTCTCTGGCCCCTACGTACACAGTAAGGGGAAGAGAAGGATTGGGGCCAGGACGTTTGAATCAGAGCCCACCCTGGAAACAACTGTGCCCTGACGCGCCTGGCAGCACATGTTCTGACAGTCTTTCATGTTGATGGCAAATGGACCGAGTTTTACTTCCATGTGACGGAAACCCACATGTGTGCTCTTTCACCTTTGGATCACTGACAGGGTTTTTTTTTTTTTTTCATTTTTTGCACATAATGTCAAGCAATTTGGAAATAAGTTGTGTGTGTGTGTTTTGTTTTGTTTTTTTTTGTAATCCCGAAGATCCTAAAAATTGTTCTCTCGAGTATACTAAGAGCACTGTGTCTAGGATGACAGGGGCTCATAGCAGAACTTGAAGATATCTTACATGTTTGCTTCTTGGGACTGGGAGGTAACTGGCCCCACTGGTATTCAAATGCTGCTTGTGGATTTGTGCAGCCCTTGTTCCTGGAGGGACCTGTTTGCGACTGGAGAAAAACGCAGGCCTAGTCCTGCCTCTTTGGACTTAACTACTGGGAATCGTTTTAAGGTGTATCATTCTTAGTGATTCGATGTTAGATATTCTGTGGGATTTTCATGGGTTTGGGTTTTTTTGGTCAACGTCAATTATTTAACCATTTGGGTTATTTTTCTTACTTCCACCCTCCGTCATAAAATCCCATCCATTAAAAGAAGAGGTTTCCCAAACTGACAGCATTCTACAAAATAACTAACTGACTGGTACTTTTCAAAAGTGTCAAGGTCATGAAATGTTCTCCACAGATCAGAGGAGACTAAGGAGACAGAACGACAATGCAACGTGGGACCCTGGGTGGGATCGTGGAACAGAAAGAGGGCATTAGGGGAAAATGCTGAAACCTGAGTCAAGCCTGCAGCTGAGTTAATTTTCTGATGCATTGTCCGACCGTGTGCAGGGTGTTAACATGACGGGAAGCTGGGCGAAGGATGTAAGGCAACGCTCTGTGCTATTTTGGTGACGTTTTTGTTAAGTCTAAAATTCTTTCAAAATCAAAAGCTAAGAAAATAAAACGTGGAATAACAATGACAAGAAGCCAAGGTTCCCAGACCTGGTTGATTTAAACTCAACTTCTTAGACTCAGCCTGGGCACAAAGACCCAAGGTCTCTGGGAGAGGCCCCGACAGTGCATTCTAACCTCCCCAGGAGATTCAGATCCCTGACTTAGAACACTGCCATCTGAGTGAGATGCGGGGAAAGGGGGCCACTCATGAAGGCAACGGCCTTTGTGGTGATAGGGCTGAAGTCTCCGAATTCTGCCTAACCCGGAACTAAGTTCACTCATGCTGAGATGGCTCTCGGCAATATTATGGTATCAGGCGCTTTCTACAGCCACTGGTCTGGCCACGGTCTTGGCTGCGCAGTGCCCCTACC